TCCATTACATTTACAGACTAGCCTCATGCATCCTGCTATATCACACACACTTCCACCAGGAGCGTTGCTGCTTCCTTGACAGTTTTCCTTGTACGTGGTAATCCCATGAGATTGTGAGCCTGTGTGTGTGTGTGTGTGTGTGTGTGTGTGTGTGTGTGTGTGTGTGTGTGTGTGTGTGTGTGTGTGTGTGTGTGTGTGTGTGTGTGTGTGTGTGTGTGTGTGTGTGTGTGTGTTCAGTGGGGATGACATTTTAACTAGAGAAATGTTGCTTCAGCCATTTTCTCCTTATATGTCTGCATGAGTTTGTGTGAGCATGTATGTTGGACAGTAAATCAATGTGTACGCTTGAATTGACATAATAGATTTCACAACAAAAGCATGCCATACTCAATGATTGAAATGGTTTCCCCCAGATTTTATGACATATTCAGCATAAACTATTAGTTTAGTAATCTGTACTCAGAATTCATTAGTTCAGTTATTCCCTTCATTAGAATTCTCATTTGCCAAGTGGATGCAGTAAACTGTGGAATTGGTTTTCTCATGAAGCTAAAAAAAATCTTTATAAATGCTGCTTAAAGAAATAGTTTGGATGTTTTAATGTGTGGTTTATGAGTTGGTTGTTAATAATGAATATCTCACCTGTTGGTGCCTCTTTGAATGACCTCAGTTTAGAGAAATAGACTTTAATTCTGACGAGGCGTAATTAGTCACAGTTGGTTCCAAAATAGGCATACAAATCTTTTAATCTATAAATTTTATCTCAGTTTATTCTAATAAAATCTTACAAACCTCCCCGTCATCGCACATTTAAATTCTACAGTCATTTCTTTAATGGAAGAACACACCCTGTCCAAATCTCATATGCTGCAATAATTCTGTAATGGGAAGCTGACTTTTCTTTTTTTAGATTGGAGTTGTTTTATAGATGATCATAATATTTACGTTGTAACTCTCTTGGCAGACTGAATCTTTGTTTCTCTGACCTGAGGCTGTTCAAACAACTAAACCAGGTAAGATATTAACCATTAATGACCTTCCCACAGAAAACTACTTCAACAAAATCAGATCTATCCCTTTATAACAGTCTTCATCAACTGTTTTCTTACTTTTTAATCTTTTTTGCAGACTTAGAATAAAACTCTTCATTTCTTCCTTCCTTCCATCCTAACTTCCTTCTTTCAACACTTCACCCTCCTCTCTTTTTCTTTCTTTCCTTTTGTCTCTTTTCTCCTCTCCTACCTTTCTGCTTTCATTTTCTCTCATCTTCCATCCTTACTGCTTCATTTAACCTTCCATGTTTCCTTATTTCATTCTTTTTTACCTTTTTCCTTTACTTCTGCTCCTCTCTTCCATCATTTTTCTCGTTCCCTCCATCCTTTTGAACTTCCTCCTCGCTTTTGTATTCTCTCCTTTCTTATTTTCATTCCTTCCTCTCTTCCATCCTCTTTCCCTCCTCCCCACTGCTTCCCTCCATCCTTTCTTCTCTTTCTCTTTTCCTACCTTTTGAATCATTTCTTCCACTCTTTCCTTATTGCTTCTTCTTTTCCCTTCATGTTTTCTCCCTTTACCTTACTTCATTTTCCTTATTTGATTGTTCTTTCCTCTCTCTCCATTCCCTTCTTATTTGTCTTGCTCCATCCTTACCATTCTTTTCATCCTCCCAATCTTTCCAGTCAATAAAACTCATTTAACCTAAAGAGTCAAAAACATGCTGTGAGACACCCACGTGTTTGTTTAAAAACCTGTTTTCTCATAGCTGCTCCTGAACGCATCATAACTGTAGGACTCAAGACATTTAATACGAGACTGGGACTAAGCTTCAGAAATCCTACAAGTGCAGTGTGTGTTTGCATGTGTGTGTGTGTGTGTGTGTGTGTGTGTGTGTGTGTGTGTGTGTGTGTGTGTGTGTGTGTGTGTGTGTGTGGAGGTCAATATGTTTCTAGTGTTGATTTGGTTTCTGCTCACGAGTCGCTGACAGCATCATTTGTGTGTGAATATGGGCTTGAATCTGTCTCCATGACAACTGAGAGGACATCTGTCATGTCCATATGGAGCTACAGAGATGGAAACTCTGAAAGAATGTGGAAAAATGTGGAAAACCAGCAAAAAACACAGATCTAAAAATAAAACTTTATATTCTTCTGTGATCCAGAAAGTAAACACACGGTTGATTTGAATTATTCTGTGCCTTCTGGTCAAATGGCAAAATGTGTTTTCTTTTTACTCGGGATAAAGATTTATTATAAACAAATAGTAAAATTTGCAATGAGGGTATGCACTATTATTTTTACCTGAGTGGTTTTTGTCAGCCTGGATTAATTTCACTAAGAAATATTTCATTACAGATGAACTGGGAGGAGAAAGGATTTTTGTTGACATGAATGGGACGCAGTTTCTTGGAGCCTTGTAGAAAATAATCAATACACAGAAACAACATTTTTATTTTCTGATTTCTGCTTTTAGAAACTTTTTCAGGATTTCTGTTTGTTTTTGCATCCCACACTTATTTGTTTTCCAGCTGGGAGGACACACAAAGCCAGCGAGGCTCTGAGTCAAACTGTGGAGGAGGGGACACTAAAAACTCATTACATGGACGATCAATATTGCACACACTCCAGAGCTGAGTGTGTGCCTGGTCCCCTTTACATCCACTACACACATGTGCCTTTCATCAACCTCTGGCAATGGTGACAGATGACTTTTGTCAGCCTGATATGTGTTACCGTGGTAACCATTAGGTTAGATTTTGGTATGGTACAACGGGGGAGACAGACGCGCGCACACACACACACACACACACACACACACACACACACACACACACACACACACACACACACACACACACACACACACACACACACACACACACACACACACACACACAAACACACACACACACAGTTAGATAAACTGCTGAAGGTCATGAAAAAATACTACAGCTCAATATCTCAAATAAATTAAATTCCTCTGAATACGGATATTTTTACTATAATAATATTTTTATCTCGGTGTCATTGTAATTTATAAGACAGTATCTTGTAGTATATAATCATCAGATTTTAGGAGTGCACAGATTTTGGTTTTTGAATGCTTTTACAGCTTTCTGACTCTTGCTCAGCTCTGATCTGCTGATACCAATTTTTGCAGATTTTTATGTTTTTTTAACTTGAAATTTCATAATCCTAGAAGTAAAACGTTCCTCATGGAAGATCTGTTATAGCATCGATTAGAGCTTAGCAATGGTGAATATATAGAATGGGAAATAGTTTAGATTTGTTTTCTGCTTGCCAATGGTGCATTCACAGATCAAAAGGGGAAAAATACCATTTAGACTGACTGATTCTCAATTAATTCAGTCATGCTGAATATTGGCCATTTCCATTTGCGCAACAGTACCTCTAATATATTTTACTGTTTAGTGTTTTAAATTACAGAAACATGATTCCAGAATGTATTTATATTAAATAAATAAATGCTTTTCTACAGAAATTAAAAACATTATATTTTTGTGGATTTAAGTACAGGGATCACAAGATTTAATTGTATATAATTATAATATAACAGCCTACAATAATTGTTTGGTGTTTGTTGTTTTCTGGAGCACATTTCTTAGGTGAAAATGACGATAGAAAACATTTTTTTTGTTTGTTTCTTTGCATAAAAACAACACAGGATCCTAGCCTAAAAATCTAGACAGACAGTAGCAGAAGCCAAATTATTTTGCTCTGCATGTCGGCCTACCTCTCCGTTAGAACCTCAGCAGCCCTGACCAGTCTGGTGGCATGCCAGTCACAAGCGCTCTATTGATTTGGTGGGCGGGATGATGCGACCGAGCGGAACAACTAAGATGGCGACGGCTCATTTGAAACTGCTATGGCATCAACTTTGCACTATTTAGACTTGTGCTTTGACTCAAGAGCAGATGTAGGTACTTATATCCTTCATTTAGAAAAAGGATGTCTTTGCATCATCCTCGACAGCTTATGGTGGTTGGCTGACATTCGTAGCAGTTGTTTGTTGTCCAGTTGCATGCAGAAACAGTTTGAAAGATAACTATGGATTAACTGAACTTTCCCTATGGGTCGTGGCCAGACTATATATTCACATAAGGCTTGCCAGAATAACAAAATCCTCAATCAGGACAGGAATTTAATGAAATGTCAGCAATGTAGGGAAGCTTATTTTCCAGCCCTTTTTCCAAAACACTCTCTTTAACCCTCTGAGGCTCAAAATGAGTTTTGATAAAAGGACGAACAACTATGTCCTTCAGGGGTACTTCTGAGTTAAAACATGCTCATGAAACACGTATGTGGAGTAACCAGGTAGGTAGGTTTTAACGTTGCGAATCTGCAACGCCTGCCTCCAGAGGGTTAATTTTTGCAACGTTATAAACAAGATGTCCTAACTTTTTAATGCAATCTCTTAAAAAACCAGAACCCTCACAGCTAGAGCTCTGAATGTTAATGGTCACTATGCACGCTAACACAACCTTTAACAAATAGCGCTGCTTGTAAATCCAGGAGAGCAATTTCCCCACTTCCTCTTTCTTCTGAAGGCTTTAAGTTCTGCGAGACTCTCTCCTCATCTCACATGAGCTGCTTTTCAGAGTTTTACCTACAGGTTTACAATTTGCAGCTCTGAAGAGCAGAAAAAACTCATCTTGGGCTCATGAATCTGTGGAGTTTTGATGTAGATTTATGATCTCTATCCTTTTAAAGAAACCCTTCTTTCAGTAGATGGTGTGATGATTGCTTCTAAAACTTTCTGGTACTTTTTCACCCCTCTGAGGCTGAATTTTTATGATGCCTTCAACTCAACCAGAATCCATCCACCTTGACACTGATGCATTGTAACAATGCTATGATCATGAACTTCCACGCTTCCCAAATGTGCCTTTCAGTAATTCTGGTCTATTTTCTGGACAACTGATAATCTTAAAGGGATCTACGTAAAAGTGCAGCAATAGTAGACTACATTTCAAAACTTCCAGTTACCTTTCCAAGTCCAGGATTATCTTTGATCTTATTGGCTGCACGGAGGAGGCAAGGTGGGGCAGGTGGAGGTGACTTCAACAAGGCAGAGCTGAAAGTTGTTGGGAACAGAGGCGGATCACATGACAAAGGTGAAGATGCAACTGGAGCTGAGACAGTCAGAGTCTTCTGCTTCTTCTTCTTGGATGCCAAGTTCAGCTTTTGGGCAGCTCTTAGAAAACAAGAGAAAAAAAATTATTAACAGGATTTTTCTTAAGGTGCAGGAGATGTACGAACAGGAAAGATGGTGGTAAGTGTGGAGCTGTGGTTAAAGGCTTTTGAGATGAATTGTAATCATCACAAAGCTTGCTGCCTCAGTTTTGTTTTCAGAAACTCCAGGATGTTATTTAAAGTGACCAGATGAACTTGTGTCCCACACTCAAGTCCTCCTTTGCCATGAAAATAAACTCAATCACAAAATGTGCACAAACCACCACAACCGTCTTTTTAAGTTGATCCAGCTGTGGGATCAGGCCACCACCAGTGCAGAGCTTGCTCAGGAATGACAGCCGGCAGGTCAGAGTGCATCTGCACACGCAGTAAGGAGAAGACTTTTGGAGGATAGTCTGGTGTCAACAAGGAGAGTTAAAAAGCCACTTTTCTCCTAAGTCCCACTGAGGATTTATGATAAATCCTTAAGAGGTGAATGGACAAACATACACCCACAAATTCATGAAAAGTCTGAAAATAGCTGCCATCAGTCAAGATTGGGACCAGAAGTTTGTTGTTAGATAGATAGATAGATAGATAGATAGATAGATAGATAGATAGATAGATAGATAGATAGATAGATAGATAGATAGATAGATAGATAGATAGATAGATAGATAGATAGATAGATAGATAGATAGATAGATAGATAGATAGATAGATAGATTGATGATAGATAGATAGATTGAAGATAGATAGATAGATAGATAGATAGATAGATAGATAGATAGATAGATAGATAGATAGATAGATAGATAGATAGATAGATAGATAGATAGATAGATAGATAGATAGATAGATAGATAGATAGATAGATAGATAGATAGATAGATAGATAGATAGATAGATAGATAGATAGATAGATAGATAGATAGATAGATAGATAGATAGATAGATAGATAGATTATTGACTGACTGATTGATTGATTGATTGCAAATCAGGGCTAACTGCAGAGGGATAAAAAAACAACATTACTGTTTGCAGAAACCTCCATAAAAGCCATTAAAATAACAAAACGCTTATAATTATACCTCAGTAACCATGGAAACACCTTACAAAAAAGACGTAACAAAACTGATGAAAAGCAAACTTTGTAAAAACCTTTATTTGTGTCATTGTCTAAATATTTGATCCCAGTTGTGTGTGTGTGTGTGTGTGTGTGTGTGTGTGTGTGTGTGTGTGTGTGTGTGTGTGTGTGTGTGTGTGTGTGTGTGTGTGTGTGTGTGTGTGTGTGTGTGTGTGTGTGTGTGTGTGTGTGTGTGTGTGTGTGTGTGTGTGTGTGTGTGTGTGTGTGTGTGTGTGTGTGTGTCTCTGTGTGTGTGTGTGTGTGTGTGTGTGTGTGTGTGTGTGTGTGTGTGTGTGTGTGTGTGTGTAAACAGGGGATTACACACACCATTAAAGCAAAACAGTTAATATCAAGCCTAATACTTATTTCCTCTTATGTTAATTTGCTCAAGCATGTTTTTCTTTTCTTGTATAAATGTGCTGGAGTTTATTGGGAACTATGGTGGTGCAGCTATATGAACTGTAATTTGATTCTACTTGGGTGTTGTCATCAGCAAACAGCCTGTGTGAGGATATTTTAACTCTGTTACTGTGTATTAAATCATATCAATGTCTGTCTCTAAAATAATCACAGCTGAGTGGAAAATCAAATACAAGGTGAAATGGAAATTACAGTAAATGCATTTGAATATGCTATTTGGTTAGCTGTCACTGGACCTAACTCTCTATGATTCAAGAAGCCCCTTTAACATACAGGATATATATTAACAATTTGATCCAATAAAAGACCCCTCAAACAGCAGCAGCGCTGGTACTTCCTGCTCTGCTCAGCTTGAATTCTCGGATATATTTCAATGACTGTAACAAAAAGGAGAAGAAGAATGAGTGTGAGACCTTGCACCTTGATGCACTCTTTGTCAAAAAGCCATATACTCACACCATTGGCTTTCAATTAACTGCTGCAAGTTACAGAAATGTCAGTGAAGCACAGGATTGGGGAGGGAGGAGAGGAGCACAGGAAGAGAGAGGAAGAGAGATGTGGATCTAGTGACCCGTAGAACGATGAAGTGTTTCACCATTTGACCAGTTCTCCAAGGAGATTGTCTGTGCATCTGTGTGTGTGTGTGTGTGTGTGTGTGTGTGTGTGTGTGTGTGTGTGTGTGTCTGCACGCTGCGTGAAACAAACCTCCACACTAATTGGTTTTTCAGTGTGTGCTGGCTAAGCTTACAGAAGAGAAATGTGATCAAAGGAAATTACAGGTTTTCTTATTATACTGGTGGTTGAAAGTCCAGTTATTCAACATAAAATAATACATAATAAAACCATTTGATGGGTGTAAAAACTTTCTCTAAATTTTAATAAAAAATAATGGCATTGATTCATGTATTCACAATATGAGAAAGCAGCTGAAATAAATGTAATCAATATGATTTATTTTATTGATGGGATTTCTTTGTAATCACTGAAATAAGAGGCTGCTGAGACTGCTGCTGCACTGCGGCTGGTTGCAGGATGCCACATGACAATGATTGATGCATACGCTGTAACTCTGTTGTTGGCAACTCCTGCTATTTCTTTCACCAGTGGGTTAGGGTTAGGTTTAGGGTTACGTTGATAGGCCTAGTTCTGTTCTGGTGGAAGATTAAGAGATTAAGATATGGATCCATATGTCCAGTGGTGCCCCAATGGGGCTAGGGAAATTTTTGGGGTGGCACACCAAATTCTTCCCTGTGGAAACTATGACAGAGTTAAGCCTGTATCTGTGCATTGCTTTGCTCCTTCGTTCTTTTTCATTAATCCAACACATTTACATCAAATTTGAGAAAAGCACTTTTTCTGAAAAAACACAACATTTCACAGTTATTATTTCAAATTTAATTGTTTAAGAACAGTTTTCATTTGCCTGTTGCTGTTTCAACAAAAACATCCACAAAAAGCATTGCTATTTATACCTTTTTTAGAAAAAATGGTTAGCCTCAGCGTCATACATATTTTAATAGTGAAATTATTGAATAAACTATTTATTATAGTTTTATAAAAATAAATGTATGTATTGGCTTTGACATTTATGTCTTGATTTAAGCAGAAGATAAATATGATTTATTAAGAGGGGTAGGGCATGGTCTTCCCAGGGGGGCCAGGGGGTGGCCAACAATTTTCTAGGGGTTGCCATGGCCCCCTCAGCCACCCATTGGGGGTGCCCATGTTTGTGTCTAATTGGTTAAAAGAGTTGTATTAATGGGAAGTAGGAATGCTCAGTAACGTATCGTCACATAGTTTTAAAAGAAATTTTAATTTAACGTCAATTTTCATGCATCAACAAATAAACTTGCTTTCGTTAGTTGTTCTGCACATTTGACATTTTCTTCAAATCAGATTTGGATTCTTTAATAAAAACTGTAGAACTCTTGTTAAATAATATTGTGAAAGGCTTGTTGCTGAACAAGGTCTTTCGTTTAGTGTTTATAATTTAATTCATTTATCAGTCTGTTATATTCTGTTTTATCTCCTGACCATTTCTGCGGCATAAAGTGAGCTTACGCACACACACACACACACACACACACACACACACACACACACACACACACACACACACACACACACACACACACACACACACACGCACATACACACACACACACACACACACACACACACACACACACACACACACACACACACACACACACACACACAATTTACTGGTGGTATATAATGTCTGGTGACTTGATCTATTACAATAAGCTTTACTTATTTTGCATCAGTAACTCATGCCATCTATTCTTCATCCTTTCATTTTATCCCTTTTCTTCTCATCCACTCTCTTTTTTGAGACATTTAAATTTGTTGTTTTTGTTTTTGTTTTACCGAAGTCATCTCTCTCATTATGTTTTATCCTTCACCTTTTCCGTCTTTTTTTGGTGCTGACTCTGCTCTCCAGATCCACTCATCCAACTCACAATCCACTCAGCCTTCCTCAGCCGTATCGATTCCCTCAGCCCCCACCGCCTCTTCTCTCCCACCAACACTTCAAGTGTCTTCCTCTTGTTAGAAAGCATCGCAGGTCACCAATAGCTCAGCTGGTAACAAGATGCTGCATTGTTGTTGTCTTTCTCCTTTCACACAAATACGAACCCCTTCACTTGAAATCCAGACGTGCAGCTGATTTATGGCTGGTGTCCCTGGGCAGTGTTGTTGGTCAGTGGCTAATTATGTTCGGTTCAGCAGACCATCAGTGAAGGGAGATATGGGAGGAGACAGAGAGAGATGTCGGATTTATGGAATTGTGTCTGTGTGTGTTATCTTCGGTCGGAAAGACTGGCTTCACTGACATCACAACAAGCACATGTAGTCAACATGTGGCCTTTTTTTAGTCCAATTATTATCATACAGTGTTTTTATTGTGGTGCTCATCATTTATTTCAAATAAAAAATGCATGAAAGCTGTAAAATGGATGAAAAAACAATCTAAGTAAAGTATGTGAAACACTGATCTGTTTTAATGCTTTATTAGCAGTCCATCTATCAGATGGGTCGCTACTTGATGTCCATTTAATATAGATTTTAAAACACTTCATGTTAAAGAGCACCAGAAAAAGCAGAAAGAGGTAAGCAGGAGTAGAAAAAGAGAGCAGTCTCGCTGACATCCATCATCCAAAATAACGCCTTCTCAATTCACCTATTCACTTGGGACCTATTCATTTACTCAGCCGCCTACTGCGACACACACACACACACACACACACACACACACACACACACACACACACACACACACACACATACACACACACACACACACACACACACACGCACACACGCACACATACACACACACACACACATGCACACACATAGCCAGTCAAATCCCCGAAGATCCAATCCTTGGAGCATGCGGTTAAAAATTCCTACACTGATAGAGACTCCCTCCCCCATTGTGTTACGGCATGCA